CTGAAAAATTGAAAATATTGCTTGAGCGGTCCTTTTCCAAATAATTCATGTTCATTTGCATATACAACTGCGGTTCAGTCCGAGTTGCTAACGATTTTTGGGTTCAGGAGCTGCTTGAGGCTGTGGTTGAGGAGCTAGAGGGCTGAGTTTAAAAGTTTTATCTCGCACGCGCATAGAGTATATCCCTGCGAAGTTTCAGCTTTCTACGTTGCCTGGTTCGCGAAATCGTTTCCCGTCAACATATTTTTTTGGGGGTCCCGTACACAGGGTTTAGGCGCGTGTGGGGGAAGATCTTAAAACGGGAGGATGACACACGGGGTAGGAACATATATCCGAAGTTTCAGCCTCGGGGGAAGATCTTAAAACGGGAGGATGACACATGGGGTAGGAACATATATCCGAAGTTTCAGCCCCTGGTTGCCGAGTTGAAAGTGGGTGACAAAATGCACTCGCTTTCCGAACACACACAGACAGCCTCTCGACAATATGCGTTTTTGCTGGCTGTAGCAGCGCTACAGCTGCTATAGCGCTGCACAGCAAAAACGCATAAAAACTGTTTAGTTCATTTATTCAAATTTACAACAACTACAATAAGCAAACCTGCCACGCTAGTCACGCCAAAGTGCACCACGCAAAAGAGGTAGCTGGATGAAGTGTTAAAGCAATTCCATTTATTTCAGCTGAATTCAACAAATTCTGTTCAAAATTTGGCTCCACTGAATTGTTGTTCCCCTAATCCCGTGCAGTGAGTGTTGGAAAAGAACCTGTGAGTGTCACGAACAGTTCCTGCTCTTTAATGTGCAGAGAGCTATTTCAATGTTTTTGCAGATTTCACTTATACCGATTTTGTTTTCTCACCAATCCACTGCATATGACTCATGAAAATGGGTATGAGTGTGTTAGTATGCAAGTCAATCATGTTTTGGAATATGCATTTGTATCCACAACTTTAATTGACATTATCCACAAGAATGAGTCTTTTGTGATGGTTTCTGCATAAGCCTCTAGTATACGTTCACCCGAAATTCGATGCTGCTGAACAATCTTGTGCGACTGATTTCTCACACTTCCCAAGATAACACCACAACGATCACTTAGAGGATACGTCGGTAGTAAGTGGAATATGATGAACCTCTCATTATTCGCTGAACATAAGAAAACTCACTGAAATACAAATACCAAAATCGCCGTCTGGCTGCTCAATGAATAATGTAGTTTCGGTTGCAGAAATCACGACAAAGGTACTTAATTTGGGATCGATAGCTAGTAAGTACCAAAGCAACTATTTGAAAGAATAAAACCATACCTCAGTCATAACCATGAATATAAATCGTCCTTTTGCATGCCCACGGTCTTCCACAAGGCAAAAATGAGGACTACCCAAATGTCGGGCTCCGCATAAAACATGAAATTCCATAGCAAGGACCTAGGAAAGAAATTAATTTTGTGTTGCTCACGCATGCTGGCTGTTTTGAAAAGTGATCCCAATTATGAGAAGGTATATTATGATCAAACATGAGTTTTTCTTAGAAACTTAGCACTCTGTCTGTTCGTATGTATTCTGCGCGTAATAAAACGTATCCTAAACAAAATCTCGGCACTCGGAGGAAGTAAAAAATACCGCGCATATGTTTACTGTTTCTGGTGCTGCTGCAATCTGTGCAGTATGGCAATACGTGCACATACCGCACCACCTTAATTATCAGGGAGGCTCGAACAATAGGCGCCCGACATGCACGGATTCGATGTAAAGTGATGTTGCTGGAACGAATACATGCTAATTGCAGCTGTATCATATCCTTCGGTCCAAAGCTGCAGAGTTCTTGTTAATATCCACCATTTGTGTGGTGTGCATGTACCAACTTTTTTGACTAGTCTTTTACATTATCGCAGGCGACATCCTCAGACAAGCGACTGTCAGCATGGCGAATAACATGTCCCATCTGACAAATTTTACTTGCGTGTTTACTAGGGCAGGCATCTTGTGTGCCGCTGTTTTGACAGGGGCGTAGCTACTTAAATGGTCACGAAGTGACACGCCACGATTCTTTCGCTAAGTAAATTCTCTTTGTTACAAGCCAGCACTCGCTCTCCTGCTTTCGTTACATTTCGCATCCATGTGCTACTACGTTTAGCACAGTTGCACTGAAGAGTTAGTCACTTTTCTTCGGATTTGACACTTTATCAACGTCGAGATTCTGTAAAATTTTCGCGAACTGATAGCCCTTCTGCTGTGCACATTTAGCACATTTGTCTGAGGCCAAAATAGGCGTAGCTGTCGACTTCTTTCAAGCCAACACCGCCTAACTGCAATTTTGCAGCGGATACATTAGCGCTTTGCTTCTCCTTCATTCCAATGCGTTAATTACCAGGCCTACTTCTGTATTTCCTGGATGAAGTCTTGCAGCATTTCGCTTATCTCGCAACGGCTGCTGCATTAAGAACTATATTATCCGCAAAGCGTAGACTGCTTACCTCTGATTACCAAGGCCACTCTTCCACTTCAGTTTCCAGAACACCATCTTATGGCAGGCAATGAAAAACTTGACTAATCGCATTGAGGAGGAAAGGTGAGGGGAGCGCGGAACAGTCTATTTTTTTTGCAGAACAGTCTATTTTTGCTCCCATAATGATTTCCACACTGTTCCTCACAATTCCTACAACTGTAGGAAGTCGTAGCACAGCATCAAGCTTCAGGCTATCAAATGTTTTTATGTAATTGGCCAGTAAGACAAAGAGGGTGCTGACAATCTCTTGCACATTCCACCATCTGGTTTAGATGAAAATGTAGTTCGCTGTGCTGTAATTATTTTGGCATCGACATGTTCTTCTGGTTTCTGTTTGCTACTTGTGTGTCTAATTCAACTTTTTGCTATTATAGAGCGGTTCTGAGTGTGGGATACGGAGCCAGCTAATGTCGGTGAAGACAAACCAGGCTGAAAAAAATCAAGCAATCTGCATGTTTCATTAGTAGATGGCACACGCATTTGCAGCTCTTATCACCTGTTTTGTGTGGTCTTCCAACTCGCATTTCATCGCAAATATCGCATTGTCCTTTAGACGTTTCACTTCATAAACCGCTCCAAATCCGCCTCTTCCAATTAGGCACTGCACCTGAAAAAGAAAAAATCTGAAAACATTTAAAAGCAATTATTCAACAAATGCAGTCTTCCAAGCATCGTCGTATAATTATTGCCTGAAAAAGACGAGTCTAAAGTCGAGAAAAGCAATTTCAGTCCCTTTGGCCAATGTTGTCTTGCTCACATCACATACCACCGATTCAAAGTTTGCTCAAAAAAACCTTTTTCTTTTTCGCAGTTGTTACTCATGCAGCATAACACACACAGTGCTTGCAAAACATACATGATTTTGATATTTGAATAATAATTTGATTAACTTTTAACAGTGTCAGCGCATTACCAAAACTCCTGGTAAAATTGACACAAAATTCTTTCATTTATGCAAAAGTGGGCATAAGCGTAGCAGCGAATCAATTATAATCGAGCTATGTTGGCAATATTCACAGCTCTAATGAAGCATTACGCATGCAGCATGTCACATTTCCTGTCTAGAATGAGGACCACGAGTTACCAACGGGTAGCAGTTATGCGAGACAGTGAAGGAGAGCACACTTGAAAAGATATACCAAGAATACTGGTATATATATATATATATATATACCAGTTGGTAACTCGTGGTAACTCGTATATATATATATATATATACATATATATATATATATAACTTTGATAGATACCGAGACCGGTCAGGCGACAGTGTGGGTATTACATGTTAATGATGTTACTGGGCTGCTTCTACAATCGCTAAGGTTATGTCAGCCCTTCAGTCCTGGAAAGTATACATCCACTTGGTATTTACCGCCTATTTGATATGTACGCGCCACGTGTTGGTTATAAAGAAACACAAATTTGTACATTTCAAGAGCAGCATCCTGAAAAATTTTGGGTCTTTTCACTGCCTCGTATAATAATCAGCTATTGGTAATCTATAGTCTAAAAAAAAGGTATTTTGGCAAATCTTGTTGAAAAATCCACTGACAAATTGGAAAATGATTTTCCAGTTCAAAATACAGAAAAAATCATAGATATTTAATGGATATAAAAATGGAAAGTTGACTAAAAAAATATCATACTAAATGAGGCACCTCAAATGTATCCTTTCTTGCAACAATTTTTTCTCCAGCACTCGGAAGTCTTCGGTCCAAAACGACTGTTGCTTAAAAAGTAGGCTATAACAGTGATGCACACGATGAAATATTGTCAAAGCAAAAATTTAGAACCCCTTCTGTTATCGCCCTCTGAAAGAGTCGTAGGCACTCGGGAGTAGTTCAAGTGATAGCAAAAATCAAAAGTGACCATCTGCTAGCAGTACTATCCATAGCTTCCCATTTGAGCGTCACTTATCAATAAGCTAACGGTAGGGCTGACTTCTTGGCACTTGTTAGTAGCAGTTTAATATCGAGAATAAACTAACGGGGATTGATCGTCCCATCGGCGAAATGACCCACATGACTAGACAATTTCTTTGAATATTAGGTGCTACGATGCGAAAAACTTCAGAAGAGGAAAAACCGCAGAACGAAACTCATATAGTATCTAAATGGAATCTCGCGAACACCGCCTCAGCATAGATGTTCGGTAAGATTTTTACAATGGCACCCCCAGAATTAGCGTTGGGAATCTATTTTTTGTATCATTATGTGTTTTTGTGCTGCGCAACAACTGCACAAAGCACGTGACAATACACGTTTTGTGCAATTTTTGCACAGAACGCGTATGTGTGTTTGTGTGTGTTTGTGCGTATGTGTGCATGCGTGTGTGTGTGTGCGTGTGTGTGTGTGTGTGTGTCCGCGTGCATTTTGTTCACAACTTTCAACTGGGGAACTACGAAAGCTAGGAAGCTGAAAAACTAAGGGGACGTTTCCCGCTTACGTGTAGCGCCACAAATTTAATTTCGGCCTTCTCGTGCTTCTGCGTACCACGTACGACACCATGGAAGTTTTGGCGGGAAAATTATTGTCTTCAGAACCATGAAAGCTAAGAAGCTGAAATTTTACGATAATGTTCCCTGCCCAAATTTGACTCCGCAAATTTAAATTCAATCTTCACATACTCCTGCCCACATACAATCCTGCAAATTTAAATTCACCCTCACGTGCTCCGCGGTAACACGTGCTTCCCCGTGAAAGTTTTGACGGGGAAACTATTGTCTTAGGAAGCACGAAAGCTAGGGAGCTGAAATTTTGGGTAGTGTTCCCTGCCCACGTACAGTCCCTCAAATTCAAATTCAGCTTTCACGTACGCCTAGGTCTCAATATCCTTGTGAAAGTTATGGCGAAGAAATTACCATCTCGAGAGCCAGAAGAGCAAGGAAGCTGAAAATTTCAGGATGTTTTCTGCCCATGCAGGGACCTCACAAACTCAAATTTGGTTCCCAAGTGTGCCAAAGTCTTATGCACGACCACATGAAAGTTTTGGCACGGAGAACACTAGAAAACAATAAAACCAGGAGGTAAAAATTTTGAAAGTATTTTCACTGTCTAATGCTTCAAGTCTAGCTTCCGCGCACGCTTCTGTCCCACGTAGCAATGCGTGAAACTTCTGGTGGGAAATTTTGCAACTTAGGAACCGGATAAGACTTCAACTATTTTTGCACAGAACAAAATGCAAAGCACGTTTGCTGGACGAAAGCACGTAAAACGCATGATCACACCGGTTACCCTGGTGTACGCGGCTATTTATTTTGTTATATTGTTGGAAAGGGCGGGAGCAATTTTTGTCGTGGGAACCAACCTCAGGCTTGCTCTCGACCAAAAGTTGTCGAGCTGGTGGCTGCACTACAGCCCGCACCCCACCATTACACTCCATCGCTGTCCCCGTCGCTACAATCTTCTTCAATACATGGGCCTCCTACAGATTTTAAGCGAGGCAGCACTTGTTTGTTGAGGCAGCTACCGCAGCCCTCGCCGAAAACTGCGTGAGCAACAAGACAAGTACAGGTTCTGCAGCAAATGCACTAGGATCACTGGTGACAGTCAGCATCCAAATTTAATGAGCCATAGTGACATTTTCCCCATTTGAAGACATGAGCCACGGGCGTTAGCAGGTTACACGCAAATGCTGCGGTGCAACTCAGTGTGCTACCAATCACAGATGGTGTCACCCGCGAACAGGATTTTCTCGAAAACAGCACCCCCGGAACATTTTTGCAGGGGAAGTATTTGTAGTCAGTTGATGAAATCGCAATGAAAAATGTTTTTGCCTGCATTCGCAGATTGGCAGTCACTGTCGGAAAGATACTTCTCTAGAAGTATGGCCGATACAGTTTCAAATCAAATTCAAAAATTATTTGCACATTATTTATGTATCTAGTGGAAGTAAAATTATTTGCGCATTG